TGCTTAGCCCCGCCGCACGGGACCAGGGTTGGACTGACGTGGCAGTCCCCCGATCAAACCTCGGCCTTGCAACAACCAACGACTCTGAAGGCTACCTGTGTCATTGATACGACATCTGTCTATGAAAGGGCAGCATGCCTTGTGTGATAAGGGCTTTGACTGTGTTTTTAGTACTACTGGTTGCGTCTGGGCCTGTCCGGTGATACTGTCGAGAGTTTCTTGGATTGTGCGCATCCATGTATGCTGAGCTGCAATACTACTAACAATCCTCTTGTGAAGAGGCATGGACTGAGCGTTCTGTAACCATCCTGGCGCAAACCCGGATTCGGTCCCCGGTTCGATGTCGATATCTGGCCTCCAACTGCATGCTTGTGCGACATCGCTCCGGTAGAACCACACCCTGGTCTTTATTGATAACCATTGCATGTCTGATATCCAGTCTCTGTGGATTCAAGTATTGGATAGGTATTGTTTGCTCAGGAGCTTCAGTTTTCTCATTGACAACACGAGCTAGCCAGGTGCAGGCGAGCGACATGTTCCATTGGCTTCATGCCGTTCTCTGTCTCCCATGGAAAGGAGAGCTGATTTGAGCGTAGCAAGTCATGTGTAGAATATATAAACATCAATGTCCTTGCACTCCAGGTAATAGTCGCATAGCAGCTACAGTCCGTCTGCCTCTGCTGCATTCAAATGTAAACATCTGATCGGACATAGGGATATATGGTCAGACATAAATTAGACACCTTGAATCAAAACTATGCCAGCTATATTGTGGATCTCACTGTCTGCCAGAACTCAGAGCCGAATCGGCTTTAAAGGTGATCAATGTCAACTAGATACCTGTCAGTATGATACGAGAAGCTTTCGTGTATTTCCGTAGCACTTTCAGGAATGTACTTCACAAAATCAAACATCTCATCACATCACTTAATGGCTAACTCTTAGAGGTTTGTGGAAATGAGGGCCATAGTCAGCATAACTAGATACCATCACGTGATATATCTCCGCGGAGTCTTTCTTGGCGCGCTAAAAATTGTATTCTACAGGTCAAGAAAAAAAAAGTTAAGAAGCAGAAAAAGCACGTTGGAAACAATCAACACCACGAACAACAATATTTCACAATACCACCGGAATGTTCGTTTAGCGATTGGCTCTATTTTTTGAGCCAAGATAGATATCTCCCTCATTTGACGGATATCTCCTCCTCGCTTCCCATCCTTTACGTTGAAAACTTCAAATTCAGACTTGACCGCATCTGGTAGCCGACCATGGATATTCATCGCTGTCGTTTCGTGCCTTACAACCCCCAGGCGATCAATGCGCTCTCATTCTCTCATCCTCCCTCTGCGGAACTTGCCGGACGAGGTGTCCCTACCCTCCGACTTGCCATCGGTCGCGCAAATGGCGATATCGAGATATGGAACCCAATGCGCGGTGCCTGGTTCCAGGAGACTGTTCTGCGCGGAGGAAAAGACAGAAGTATAGAAGGGCTTGCATGGACTCTTGATCCCCCCGAGGCTGGACCTGACGGAAACAAGATTCCCGGGAAACTGCGCTTGTTCAGCATTGGATACTCGACCGCGGTAACGGAGTGGGATCTGGAGCAGGGCCGCCCCCTGCGTCACTCGAGCGGGAATTACGGTGAAATCTGGTGTTTAGCGGCGCAGCCAAGATGGCAGGCTACGAAGCGTGGCAAGGATGGGAAATTGCTGCCGCCTGCAGAGGGGGAGTACACCGGGCAGCATCTCGCGGCTGGATGCGCAGATGGCTCGATCGTGATCTTGTCTACTGCCGACGGCGACCTGAAATTTCTACGACTGATGCGTCCATCTACGAAGAGAGCGAGAGTCCTTAGCGTCACTTTCCAGAATCGTAACACCATCGTGGCTGGTTATGCCGACAGCTCGATTCGACTATTCGATATTCGGTCTGGGCAGCTTCTGCGTACGATCTCTCTCGGTAAAGGACCGGCTGGTGGTCCTAAGGAATTGCTGGTTTGGTCGGTCAAGTGCCTTCCCGACGGTACGATTGTTTCTGGCGACTCCGCAGGCGAGATCCGGTTCTGGGATGCGAAGAACTACTCCCTTATTCAACGCATACAAGGCCATCTAGCAGATACCCTCGATGTCGCTGTCAGTGCCAATGGAGATACGGTCGTCAGCGGAGGTGCAGACCAGAGGACGGTTGTGTACAGGAAAAGTCCGGGAGAGAGAGGCGACAAGAAGGGCAGATGGGCTGAAGTGATGCACCGTCGGTACCACACCCATGACGTTAAGACCTTTGCTGTTTATGAGACAAGGGATATCAGTATTGTTGTTTCTGGAGGTAAGATTTGACTCCCTTCATTTTCTTTTGTGAGGTTGGCGCGTTGACAATCTTTAGGTCCCGATGCCTCACCTGTCGTACTCCCATTGCGCGAATTTGGAAAAGAACATCACAGGAAGCTTTCGAGTCTGCCGCAAATACCTCAACTGGCATCTTCTCCTTCCTGTAGGTTGGTGATGAGCTTCTGGGACAGAGAGGTCAGCATCTGGCGCGTGTCTCGTGGCCCTACCTCATCACACGATAATCTGGATGGGCAGAAGCACCGACTCGTAGGAAAGGTTCTAATTCAGGTGAGAATGCAAATGCCCATCATGCAATGGCAAGCTGCTAAGTCGTGTTCTATCGTTTTATCACAGGGCGAAGAAAACATCACGTCAGCGATGCTCTCCGTGGACGGAAAGGTTCTTGTTGTTGCTACGGTCTCTGAGGTCAAGGTTTTCTCCGTCCGACGACGAAAGAGTGATGAAAGGGGGGCTTTACGTATAACAAAGTTGGATGTTCCTGCTGCGTTCTCCGAGGATGGTGCACGAGCTGTGGCCTTATCACCGGACAGCCGGTGGCTCTGTGTGGTTCGTCCCAATAGCGCCATCTACCTGGCCAGGCTCATGCCTGCTTCGTCTCCTCAGGAGAAACCACAGATCCTTCCACAGCTTGTCAAACTTGACAGGGCGACTCGGCACACTCGTCACGAGAAGGCTTCCCATGGTACTCTAGGGGATTACGAGAGAACTGTCCGCTGCGTTGTCTTTTCCGAGGACAGCAGAATTCTGGCAACTGGTGATCTTTCTGGTTGTGTGGATACCTGGTTCTTGGAGAATGTCGAGGGCTCGTCGTCAAAGGCTGCCAACAAGCGCAACGGAGCTGCGGATTCTGACGATGAATCTTCGGACGATGAGGATGAGCGACCAGTGATAGATGGAGAGCGCTGGCAGTACGCCGCTGCTGACTCGCCCATACCTAGACTCAAGTCTGGTGTGGTTTTGCTCTCCTTCCGCCCTCAAAGCCCAGCAGAAGCAAAGCTTCTCACAAACGGTACTGATCGGTCTTCCCAAAATACTCTCAGGGGCGAGAGTCGATTGATGGCTCTCACAAGTGAACACCAGCTTGTGGAATTCGACGCTCTCGAAGGAAAGCTATCGGACTGGTCAAGAAGGAACCCCAAGGCTTATCTTCCGGAGCAATTTAAGGGGGTCAAGGACCGCGCAATGGGCTGCTTGTGGGATCTTTCCGAGGCGCGTGACCGCCTGTGGTTGTACGGTACTTCTTGGTTGTGGATGTTTGACCTGAATCAGGATTTTCCCTCTTCGGAAGAGTTGAAGGAAAGCGCAGATGGCCACGAAGAAGGAGACTCTTCGGAACAGCTCGTTAAGGCATCCTCGGCTCACAAGAGAAAGCGTGAGCAATTAGAGGAAGAAGAGAAGAGAAGAAAAGCGAACAGTGGTGCTGGTGATCGAATGTCACTGGCTCAATCAGATGTTCACTTTGGCCCCAAATATCGCAAGATTGAAGGTCACGATGACTCCAAGGGAGAGTGGGTCTCCCTGGATAAGGAGCGCCCACGAGCCGCTGGAGGAGACGAAGAGACCTTTGAATACGACGAAAACTCTACAGCAAGCCATGATGCAGCTTTGGCGCGACTCAGAAGAGGAAAGCTTGAGGAAGACGAAACCTGCACTCCGCGAAAGCGAGTCTCTCTTGGGCCTCGTGATAAGCTTCTTTCGCTCAATGGATTCGATGATACACCCGCTCGGAAGCCGAATGACCACGACATGCTTGACACGCCCCAGAAACAGTTGGTGCAGTCGAACGGATCTCAACCGGCACGTCGGTGGTGGTACACATACAAGTACCGTGACCTACTCGGTATTGTGCCTTTGAGTTCTTCGTCGACCGAGGATGGCGTCGACGAGGGTACTGCTGGCAATACGCTGGAGGTTGCCGTTGTCGAGAGACCTATGTGGGACGTTGAGTTGCCAGGCCGCTACGTCAGGGATTACGCGTAGGCCGCGAATCGATTTGTTTGCAGAAGTGTCTTGAGGAGAAATTTAGGCACCAATACTTGATCGTCGACTTTGCGAATTCCATTGGCAAATGTTCTATTTTATAATCCGGATTTGCCATTGAACGTCATACTCTGCACATTTCTGTCGTCTGGCGCTATGTATAGTGTTCTCGTCTGCCTGTCTTTCTTGACTTTTGTACTCACTTGGCGAGCTGGATAGGTCTATTTATAAATGGATAAAAGTTTATTCTTGGGACGAACCTTTCCCTTCTGCCTGTGCCGGTGCCAGTGAGGCTGTAGGAACTGTCATTAGCTCTTTTAGCCTGAGGCACCGAACACAATAAGCAGGTTCGCCAACCATGACCTCCCTTGAGTCCCTTCACCCCGAACCAGCAGTTGCATCTCTCTCTGATCTGCGCCTGGTGCCTGTTGCTACGCATTAGCCCTGTATAAGGCCAGGCATCAGCTTAATTGCTGAACAAATACGATGGGTTGAATCCCACTCTCTCCAGCAAAACACGCTTCAAAAGCGGGTTGCAGAATGACTCTCAGCCCTATGCTCCAAGTCTGTATAACCCACGTCAAGGACTTGGCCGCACCTAGCCTTCATTCTAGGATTTCCAACACTCTCTACTCATCTCAATCTTTTGAGTGAACAGCCTTGGCCGTTACGATGGAAGGTTCACACTCGCTCTGCGTCATCTGTGGTGCCAGGATCCCATATCATAGTCCGAATTCATCCTGGCAAAGGGACTTCCGCGCAGGTTTGTATCTTGCGACTTTCTTCTTACCTCTTGTATTCTGTGGATTAGTGACAATGCTCTCAGAACATGTTGAGCTAACCGTTCAATAGTGAGATGTGATCAAAACTCCGGACTCGAGGGGAGGCCGTTTTTGACTGGGGTAGGTGGCTATGTACCACGAACCATAATACCCGACTGCGCTGCACCTTCAGCAGCTGAGAGGCGATGGAGCGACGAAGGCTTCGAGTTGTCTGCGGAAGATGTCTTCCCACTGCTCATTGGAGAGCGATTACGTCCACAGCCTGGTTTTCTCTTCCACGAGGTCTGCTGGGAACTGTTGACGAGTCGGTTAGCGCCGCGAGCTGTTCACATCGAGCGGCTCTACGATATCTTACTTTCGTGTCCGGCGAACAAAAAGGGATGGTTGGATTGGGGTCACAATTATGGTGGGCTCATGGATAGAGCTCCTGAGGGATATCCGTGGGAGAATGTCTCCATTGTGGGCTTTATTAAACGATATCTGGGCGATAAGAACTCACCCTTGTCGTTGGCAACAGCGAACCCTATATTTGTACCCGAGTTGAAGCAGGCTCTTGTGGACTCTCAAAGGAAAAATGTTCTAACAGCAGAGGCCTCTTTAATAGCACCAGTCTTTCAGAACGTGGCGGATTGTTTTCAGAGCCTGCCGCAAGAAGTCCTAGAGCTCATCCAGACGCTTCTTCCTTCTCACAGCGTCGCCAATGCCAGGCTAGCTTCGAGGTCCTTTGCGAGTCTACCTTTGAGTCAGACTTTCTGGGCCTCGAGATTAAATTCCCGTCAGGAGCACGGGTTCTGCTTCGAAGCGACGGAACCGTCGTACAGCAGCATCGCCGAGCAGCGCAATCGAGAATGGAGAATCCTTTATGAAAAGACGGGGCTGCTGTTGATGTCTTCACTTGAGATGAAGAATAGAAAACGGATTTGGAATCTCCTCGAAGACTTGGTAGATCTTCTTCTGGAGGAACCCTTGAGTAACGATAGCTTGGTCAGGACGCTGCAGGCCTTTCCAGTAAAGGCGTCAAAGGCATGGAGGCCCATTGGAGGAGACTTCTCTGCGCAACCTGCGGACCGCTTCCCTTGCGGTGTGAAATGCAGGAAGATATATGAACAGACAGTCTCAATCTCAGCACTGATCCGATCCATTGAAGTCTCTTTTAGGCGTCTCAGTGGGCAACGGTACATCTCAGGTGTAAGGTTCATTCTCGAGGACTATTAGGAAGTCACTCTGGGCTACATTCTACCGGCGAACGAGAGAATGCTCGACATAGGCGCCGAATGCTACAGACTCACCGGCTTCATCGCCGCCGTCGGTCCCAGAGGCATCATGGCCCTACGTGCTGTGACGGCTAAAGGCGACGTCTCATCCTGGGTGGGATCATGGAAAGAGTACCCCCAAACTCTCCGTTTATGCATGAAAGAGGCCATCCATGAAATAAAGGGTTGTTTCGATGTGAGTGATAACACACAAGCCTCATCCACAAGATCACGCGAAAAAAACCTACCTGACAAAACCTACTACAGGGCTTCAAAATGGTCTCCCTAGCCGTCCCATCAACCCTCAACCCGCTCTTCCCCTCTGACCCCAGAGGCGAGCACCTCCCCCTCCGCACAACGGGACTCTGGTACCCAGACCTCCCACCACCGTCCCTCCACCTCCACGACGGTACGTTCCCAGGCGGTCAAATCCCCCTACAGGAATACCGGCCCCTCGTGCACATCATGTTCGGCGGACCCAGGGGCCATATGCTGCAATACCTCACCCGCATCTCGGTAACCGTCTCGAAGACCGCAATTGTCGGAATCGATTTCTTCTACAGCGACGACGCACCCGTCAAATGTCTACAGGCTTGCCCGGCAACCGCTACGGGTGACTACACAACCAAGATCCCCTTTCCCGTTGACGGCCCAGCTGGTGAGCGGTTGACGGGGCTCCAGGCCGATATGGATTTCTTTGCGAGTGCGCCCGGCTGCAGCAATCCTTACAACTATGGGGCAATCACGTCTTTGAAGGTGAGTGGCCCAGGTCGAAGATAGTGTGTTTCATTGTCGACGGAGCTTACTGACTACGTACGTGACGCAGGTGACCACGAACTTCAAGACCGTTCCCTTCACCTTTCAACCGAGTGCTATCCTGCAGCTGAAACTCCCTGTTGGCCCATGCATCCGCCAAAGATCCAGAAAGACAGAGATAGTTCCTGGGACGACTTTGACAGGGATATACTTCATGCATGTGGGTAGTCAATCATTGGAGGAGAGTTCTTTGTGCCAGCCGACTGATTCATTCTACGTGGACGACCAGGATCCAAAGTTCGGCATGTTAAGCATGGGGTCTATTTCCCAAGATCTCACTGCAACTGAGAACGTGCCACACCAGAGTATAGAGGATGAGATAAGGTGTCGAATCCTTGGATGAGTTCTGAATCTTATCGCCCTGATGCTTCGACTCAGTAGTGAGATTACTGACAGGCGCTGCTACAAGGCACGTCTGGCTATTTAAATCAACATGATCAATATTGGGAGAATCCGATGCGTGATGGAGAGAGAATGCTGACCCCACAGGTGTCAATTCGTGATTCCTTAAGGATGTCTAATAGAGTGTTTGTAGAGAACGCCCACGCCTTGTGCTTCGTTGTGAGAAGAAAAACAAAAAGAAGTGAAACAAACAATAACTACCGCTCTCAATCATATATCATGACGTAGCGAGATTAGTGCGAGGCAAGAAAAGAAGAGTTGAGAAATTGTAGAAGAAACACCTGGAAGCGAATACAACAGCGGCTTCTGCCAACTGTTTCGTGTCTGGTTTCCCGTTCGTCATTCATGGGACGAAATCCGATAACTGCCCGGAATGGATGGAGACAGTATATAGTTGTTGGAGCGGCCACAGGCGATTTCGAAGCAGGCCCTCGTCTCATCCGTGCGGACAAATGCCTCCTGCAACGGGAAACTAGCATCGAGCAACCTGTCTATGCGGAAGACCGGACCCGTCAGATTCAGGGTTCGGCCGGCCCTATTAATGACATACAGGGTAGCCTGTGTTTGAAGGTGCAAGGGTTGCGGGGCAGCAAGGAGAGCAGCCCAGAAAATGAGCACCATAGCGCTCAGATATTGACGGTGAGAACACGCTCTCGTAGAGCCTGCACCGTACCATAAAATGCTTCTCGCTTCCGAGTATTACCGAGAGAATATGCACTTTTGAGAAAACGTCACATTTGGCCTCAATCGGTCGAAATGGGCTCGGAGATGCTTCGCGGTAGCATGTTGCAAAAGCCAATTTCTTGGCGGGTGATCGGTGGAACATTTAATAGCTTTGCGCCGATACGTGTGCGGGCTAGAACTATCATTAGTGACTGATGCCCCATGTGACGATAGATGGATAGGCAAGAAATAGACCACAAGCGCCTCGGCAAGGTTGCACGAAGAAGTGGTGATCTTCCTTGGCGAGAACGAAGCGAAGCAAGGGCGAACTTACAGGACTGCTTAACATGCTGTTCCGCTCTTTCCTACCCTTCTTAATATGGTTCTTCAGAGCAGTGGAATCCAGCGGTTTTAGTAGCTCGAAGCTACATAGCAGCTCGCCGGACACTGACATAATGGCACCCCAATTATCGAACTCGCCACAGTACTACAAACACCAGTCAGCAAACAGAGTAATCTTCACAAAAAAAAGGACAAAACGAAAATTTGGTACTCACGTTAGGAGCTGAGAAGACAGTGACTAAAATACGGTCTTGATAAAACTCGTACCCGTCCTCGACCACCATATGCGCGCGGCAGACCAAGTCGAAGTCGTGACGCTGCAAAAAGTTCATGATCACCTTTTTACCAAAGCAATAACTGACACCGCGTTCGTTGGGCTCCCAATCTTCTTCCATGTCTGCTGGGTCGCTCCACAGGAGGTCATTGAGCAGGCCATAGTCAGGTACGTCAGTGGGCCTTGCAATTCCCCGAATATCGTCCATGTGAGAGAGACTAGGAGACAGCCCGCCATGAACACAAAAGATCTTGCCAGCGACGGTGGCAGCGATAGGAAGGCAGTTGAATGTATCGATGAAAGTCTTCCAAATCTTGATGTTGCAGCGCCGCTTGCACTCATCATAGAATCCATAAACACGAGTGACGTTGGCACATTCATGATTACCGCGGAGAAGGAAAAAGTTCTCGGGAAACTTGAGCTTGTAACAGAGGAGGAGAAGGATCGTTTCCAAGCTTTGTTTGCCGCGGTCGACATAGTCGCCTAGGAAGAGGTAGTTGGAAGCGGGAGGAAAGCCGCACATCTCAAAAAGACGAATCAAGTCTGTATATTGGCCATGGACATCGCCCACAATCTTCACAGGAGCCGACAGCTCCAGCAAAGCAGGCTGGGAGAGGAAGAGCTCCCGTGCCGCTGAACAAATGGCCATGATCTCCGCATTCTTAAGGCAAACAGTCTTTGTGACTTTGGTGGAGTAGCCGGCATCGAGAAGTCTCGAGATCATGTCATCCAGGTCGATAGATTTTAAAGCACCCATTCCCATACCCGGAGATCCAGAAGTCTCTAATGGAGCATTCATGATAAAGTCCAGGATAGGATTCAGTTGGTTCTCTCTTTTGATGAGAATCGATTCGCCGACTTTCTGGGTCGATGGGCCCGAGGGCGCAGCGCCGGTGGGAGGTACATCGGACACATGGTCGACTTCGCCACTCTGCTGCATAGCATTGACATCTTTGTGGCCACGTTTCAAGCTATTCGACAGGGAAGGAGATGGAGGAGGTTCGGGAGCATCGGTTTGAGAAGCGGTATCATCGGGAGATTGGACGCTTTGGTTGGTGGAACTGCGTCTACTGGTGGTCGACTTGACCGATGCTGCGTCGGATTTATCGTCCGACAATCCTGCAGTCGATCCTCTGGGACTGTCGCTACTCCGAATCTTGGACCGAATGGAGCCTCGAAAAGAGCGAAGAGACTCCTTAGTATCGGAGCGGGAGAAGGATGGATATGACTGCAGAGAGTCGCCAGGGCCAGAATTGCCCTTGGAATGCGACTGACCCATTACTGCAAGGCGTGGATATCTGCCAAGCTCGAGATTGTATGATCCAACAAAACGTGTCTATTCAAGACGATACGAAGTTCCGGGCTGGCACTGGAATGCTCGGGCCTGCCTTGGCCTGCACGACGGTACTGAAATTATAAAGGAGGATGGAAATCCGCCGGTGAGAATCGAACGGAGACTATGCCTTCAGATCGAGATTTCTGCAAGAGTTGCTTGGAAATAGTTCCAGATGCGAAATAGTGCAATTCTCGTTCGTTGCCGACCGTTCAAGTCGAGGAGTGAGGAAGGGAATTTGCAAAAACCGACCGAGAGGAGAATGGCATCACAGTACAGTGTCCAAGCCACAGAGCTAGCTGGTCGGAAGGGAAAGCTCCGATTCGCCGGTAAGAAGAAGCTTCTGAAATATGTGAGTTAGTATGAGCGGAGCAGGGTAATTTGACAGACAGGACACCGGGGAATTGGGCAGGTGACCGACAGTGGAATGACTAGGGGAATGGTATGTGGGTGGAGGTGGCTGAAGAGGATTTGCGCGACGGATGAGTTTTGAGTTGACTTGGGGATGGAGGGGAGGAAGAAAGATGCACTAGACGGGGGGAAATACTGCGTCATTATGGGGTGTGCAATGGACGGAGATACGGTACCTGGGACTGGGGCAGATCGAAGGGACGAAACGAACCTGTATGAGCCTATGAGGCAGTACAGATGGAGACAGTAGGGGAAGAAGAGGTCTGAAGCTGTCAGGAAAGTAGAACGGACTGAAGAGAGGGCAAAGAGTAATTTTCTGTTTGTAGCAAGTGAGTTGATTGTGGCGTAGAAGACGACGAAGTCAACAGGTGTACTACTTTAGTACTAGGGAGTCCACTTCCAATTCGGTTGCTGAGATTTGCTGGGATTGGGAAGCAGTTCTGTCATGTTCGCCTTCTCAATCTCCAGGCCGTCCTTTTTGGGTCTCGATCATGCGGTGGCTGTGGGCATGCCCCGGATCATCTGTCGGCCCGGACAGCTCGGGTCTGGTTTTGGAACGCCTAAGGCCTAAGGTATCGACGAGCTGCCCCAAGTCTATGATGTTGATACTGGTGCCTAGTTCTATAAATAATTATCGATACGTCTAAGGTTGTGTAAAATCCGTGTGTACTATGTCAGAGAACCTCTTTCTGACAATTCAACATCGAAATGTGTTATCAAAGTCATTAGCATCATCACATTGACAGGCCCACTGCTTGTCTTACATCAAAGAAGAGAAAATGAGGTAATGGTGGCCAATCACCGTTCACAAGGGATGCCTGTTTGTCATCTTTCCACTTCTGGGCTTTCGGATACTGCTGAGCCACCGGTCAACAGCGCCTCTGGACGCCTCGTGACTGGCGAGTGTGGAATTGAATTTGACACATCTTCAGCACAGACAACACGATCTCGTTTTCCCCCTCTTTTCTCTTGGCTTGGCAGGTTCTTTAAGCGTTCCGGGCTTTGAGTCCTTGAAGATCTGAACCCATTCTACAAAGAGATTGGCATGCAGTCTGGAGAGCATGTGATGGGCAGTATGAGTCAGCTGTTCTCTAGGATATAGTTAAAGAGATGGTGACTATGTAAATGCTTTCGGAGCACTCCGAATTATTCTCGGCCTCCAAATTTGGTCTTGTGAAGCTTAACTGACCATACAAAGCAGACAAGCGTGGAACAAGCTATGCCGCCAGTCGCCTTGGTCAATCAAGCTAGCTAGTTAGTAGTAATTGCTTAATGACTCGACAGGTTCTAAGTCCCGGACATTGAACGAAATGAAAAGGAATCTTCCTCAGTTCACTGCAGGAACACCGCCATTTCAATCCCCGATCCCAGGCCAGCTTTGAGCTGACCGTGGCTTCTATTGCCAAGCCATGTGTCCTGCGCCAAGTGTTCTCCTGCTCTGTCTCCCAGCCACGTTGTAGTTTGATAATGCGAGAAGCTGCGTTGGTTATCCTGACCGGTGTCTTGGCGGCGCGCAATGGTATCTGATTTGTGCAAAGCAGGAGTTTTCAAGCAACAGATCCCGATAATCTCCTCGCTTCTGAATATGCGGAGCATGCACAATGTTGCACAGAGCAATGCATCCAGCCCCTCCTTTCGAGGCACCATAGCTCTCATCATCCCCTTCATTCGTTGTAGAGCCTTGACCACGCGACTTGTGCCGGTCAAAATCGGAGCAGCTGTGGCAGACAATGTCCGTGTACGGCTCGACATCACGGACATCGGATATGCCCAGCGAAAGAGAGGTCTCATGTCTTCCTCAATGTGTCTCGTAGACGGCTCTGCTGAGGCGTTTCCTCGAGCTCAATTTTCGTAATATGCTGCCCAGGGACAACGACAAGACCGATAAACCGACTCGTCATATCCACTGTGACTTTTTTCGGCTCCGGGTTTGCTTCGATTGGTTCGTCATTGGTGTTTACGGTAGCATCCCTGATGGCTGACGGGGAGGGAAAGCGATACTCGTATGTGCCCGCGAGGATAATATCCCTTTCCTGAGAGACATGAGCCCAGTCAGTGATTGCTAGTAACGTTTCCTCTGATAAGGTTTGTCCGTGCCTCTTCTTCAAGGCCTGGAATCCAGGTCATGACAAGGTTCATGGCTTACTCACCGCATCTGTACATTTGAAAGTGCCTACAAACATGCGCGTGTCTGTAGTGTGCACCCGTAACGTTTGTCCGATCAACGATTCCAGATAACGAATAGCTTGCATTTCCTCCATGATTTTATGTTTCGCGGCTGTCTCATAAGGCGAAGACAGCAGTTTCACTTTCAATCTCGGTGGGTTCGACCAATGGAAGCAGTACGTTGGCTGTTTTGGTCCTGAAGAAGAATAACAAAGGACCGCTTTGGGCCGCAATTGGCGAAGGAATGGAGAGAATTGACCAAGACCTCAGTCTTCTGACTAGAAGAAATTCGGTTGCCTTTCGCAAAAAAGTGTCGACCGGCTGACAGTGCCAGATAGCTAGTTTGTGATGGGCGGACGGACAGTTATTGAGCGGAACCTGAGGCTTCCGCCTCAGTGTGGTCGCATGTGACACCTCACCTCACCATCCATCAAGATATTAATACCTTGGTATAGTAAACAACAAACGATTCTCTACTTCAAGAAACTAATATTGTAATGTGGATTATTCGTCTCACTTGATTTGATTACTCTTTGTTAAGTGTATTTTCGATAAACATGATATGGGTATATTGAGGTTTGGTGTCATGGGGACGTGCACCTTGGGCAGAGACCAACCTGTACACAACTATGAACAGATTGATGAACAGCCAATGCCGGGAGTGAGGGTGCTTATGCAATCCAGTAGTATAGGACAATGCACGAAAGCGGCCAACCAGACCTATATGAAGGGAACACTGGTGGATACATGACAGCAGTGTCTCCGGTCGAATGTTAATAGGCATGCAGATCATTAAGGGAAGGTGTATATCATCGCACGTATTGGGATTCGCCGATACTCTTAGTTGCGAAACACATACGGACAGCCGATTTGAAGGAGATAAGACCATCATGTCCACGCCAGAGGTCCAGCCCATCCCTTCGAATCTTGAGCTGAATCGTCGGAACTTGATTCCATACCCACATCCGCATCGGCGCTCGTAAACTGTAATGCTGAGCTGCTTGAGCTGCTCTCGCTTGAGACGCCTGGTGAGGCTATACTATGATTGCAATTGTGCAGGAAGATTCTCTTCGACTGTGAGGTATGGTGCATTTGTCGGTTTGTAGTTTCATTTGAAGAGCGAAGAGAAGAGGAAGCGTGAAATGTTTGAAAGAATTTATGCAAGGTTTGTTGGCGGGGGTCGGTAATTTCTGACGGCGGAATTGGTTCTGAATCCATGTCTGCGTCTTCGTCCTCGTCCTGAACGGCTGGAGGAGCAGGTCCATGTTGGTGTTTTTGAGCATTGAACAACCAGCGGAGGGTATTTTCTATAACCATCAGTCAATACGGCCGAAGTAGATGAGGCGTAAGACCAGGCGGGTTCTTACCATATACCACCTTCTCGTCTGGCCGATCATCTCTAAATCGCTTCCGCGTTCGACTGTTAAGATGTCTTGGTGAATCTTCCACCATTCGCGACGGCCCCGCGACAACTGGCATTGCATTTAGGGGCGACAGCGCGGAGAAAGAAGCTTTTCGTTTGAGAGACATGGCACTCTAGTATGCTGCAAACAACGATCAAGATGTCGAGGTCGTCAAAGTCTCCGCGCTGCCGAAGGGCGAACCTGGAAAACAATGCTTGTAAATGGAGGAGCCGTATCGCGAAGAAGCATACGCCGGGAAGAGTTCATTCGCAAAAGAGAAGAGGGGAAGCAATGAGTCCACGAGGCTGAAAAGCGTAGGGGTTGCTTGAGAGCACCTATGTAGGAAAATTGAGTGTGGTTGGCTGCTCAGCGCGTCCTGCGATACGAAAACTCGCGTCATAATTGGTGTGCCAGGTATGAAAGAATGCGCTAGGCCGCATTGAGATTAATTGGCATCACGAGGCAGGATCAAAGATCGTGATACAGTCAGTGATAAGAAGCAATACACTAACTAATTGATACTCAAAATAAGGTAAATGAGTAGTAAAAGGATAGAAATCAGGTAAAGTCTCAGGATCGAGTACTTTTTGTCTGGCTGTCGTTAGACATCCTCATGTTCAGGTCTGCATCAAAGTCACACGATGTTTTGCACAATTTACTTCTTAATAACTTGTAGACTCGAATCCCTCAGAGAGTCGAACGTAATCAGTTAACGGAAGGAGAAACATTGTCCGGACCAGAACACAAAGCTGGCTATCTTTTCAACGAAAATGAGGTAGTATATACCTTCCTAGTAACAAGGGACCATCGCAGAAAACTGCCTAGTATATATCTCGCCATCAAATACAACTAATGTGCAAGCGGTCAAGCGCCCACGCTATGAATTGGGACTATAGTCGATGATGTATACGACTACCAGTATGTTTCACAGCTTAAAAAAGATTGTCAAATCTATTTATTGATCTGTCTGAAACCTGGCTTCGATCAAAAATACGTCGCCAGTGTTGACTACCTACTAAGGCTCATGTTCGGCATGCCGCTGTTGGCTGGATCTCGGCATCCCGCGGGGCTCTGTGAGGTTATTAGGCTGTTAGCCTGTTAGTGTTTACAGACTCCACTATGACGATGTCCCGCTTCCCCGCTTCCATGGACGATGCTTCCCCAACTTGCTCAACACTAATTGAAGACCTTTAGCACTGCAGTCTCTCAAGATATATGCGAAGATTTTTCAGCATCAAGAAGGAAAAAGCAGACATTATGCAGTCCAGAGAGCCCTCTCATGCCGGTTCATGGTACTCTGACAACCGAAGCACTTTGACCCGCCAACTGGACCAGTGGCTCGCTCAAGTTCCCAACGAAATCGAGGGAATCGGCTCCTTGCCCGTACCTGGCTCCCGAGTTATCATTGCCCCGTATGTATCATAGAAAACTGGACAAAAAATTTCGTACTCGGGAGTTGGTGCTGATGATTCAGACATGCGGGCTATGCCTACTCAGGACCATGTGCGGCTTACGCATACAAGGCTCTGGACTTGTCCAAAGCGTGAGAAATGTTCCTGTTCATTGCCTGTTGTCGTTTCTGACTGATTGAGACCAGGAAGCGGATTTTTGTTCTCGGTCCATCGCATCACCACTATCTCTCGACACTTGCTCTCCCTCAACTTACTTCCTACTACACCCCGCTTTCAGACGAGCCTCTACCGCTTGACACGGTGCTTATCGCTCGGCTTCTTTCAACAAAAGCAGTCAAACCAAACGGGTCAACAGTCAGTTTTACTACTATGACCCGGTCGGTTGACGAGGATGAACACAGTATTGAGCTTCATCTGCCCTATATTCACCGTCTGCTACAACTACAACATCCCACCAAGCGGACATCTCAATATCCGCCCCTGGTACCGATTTTGGTTGGAAGCACTTCCGTGTCAACAGAGCAAGCCTTTGGAGCCTTACTTGCTCCTTACTTGGAAGATCCCTCCAATGTGTTTGTGATTAGCTCAGATTTCTGCCACTGGGGCCTCCGCTTCAGCTACACATACTACGTCCCCCAAGCTCCCAAGCCTGGGCCGAAGCTTCCTCTTTCCGCCGATTCTCTGCCTCAGCCGGGCGATGGCCTGGACGAATTTGAAAAAAAGATTGAGCTAGTGTCGGCGGGTCACGCTCTCCAGCGGAGAGACCGAGCTCACAGTCGCGAGCCAGCGATTCACGAGAGCATTTCTGCTTTTGATATCGCAACTATGGCTGCCATAGCCACAGGCGAAACTGAGAATTTTCTTGATGCAATACAAAGAACAGGCAATACGGTATGCGGCCGTCATCCCATTGGGGTGATCATGGCCGCGATTGAAGCAAGCAAGACCCAGGAGGACGGGAAGAAGGGCATGTTCCATTTCATTCGGTATGAACGTAGCTCGGATGCAGTCGATGTAACTGACAGCTCCGTGAGCTATGTCTCCGCGTTTGCCGTCTTGTAGAAATTTGTCCTCATCCTCGATTTCTATCTCTGAGCGCTTACGGAGGGAATTACTTTGCTTACAAAGTTTGACATTAAAAATAAGTAGCTTATGATTGTTTTTCTTATGGTATGATGCAAACGGTGTTGAGTTGTCATATGCAATTTATCTATCCTCTTAGTAAAACCCTGCCCTTCGGTTTTATGCCTTCTCATAATCTATTGATGCGTACCACCAGACATGGAACAGTAACACCATGGATGTCGCCAGAGCTGCACACTCAGTGACACATGTTCTGAATAGACATGAAAACTTCCCTTCTACCGGGCCTATAGCTGTGTGCAGCCGAGTCGTTACACCTTATCTTGATCTACTTCTCCAACCTCTGGCTTTAGATGCAACTGAAGACAAGGATGGCGACTCAGGAATCGTTACAATGACTCTAAGTTTTACTATCCGCGTGTTACTCAGAGGCTCCAATAAGAGACGACGGGATCATGTCACCATCACACGGGTTTGAATAAATAACTTCACGTCACACAAAGAAAAAGCGCAGTGCGTCAGTGGTTCGATTAAGGTCGCAAGCCATCCCGCCACATCTAAAACCATCAAGACTTTCGAGTCCTGCATTGACCGACAGCAAACCTGATGACTATATCTCCCAGTTTGGGAGCATAGTCCAAATACTCGGAGCCCTCTCTTCCCCAATCATAACCAAACAAGCCCACGACGACATAGATGCCGAACGTCCGGTGATGAGATCGCGTGGTTGACCGGCCAGGAATGCTACCCCGCAAACTTGTCCTTGGATTCATGGCTTCTCAGGGTTACAGAGGCTCATTAACGGTATAAGTGGTAACATGGTGTACGGCATATGCCGGTATACAGCTTGACTGGACACTTTCTCGCCTCTGTTGTGCCCCGCTATCCCCGCCATAGGGGTCGAAAAATGAAGATGAACATGCTTTTCACATCATTAAAGCAATCACAAAACCTGATCGTTTGAACGTTAATATTGCCACTGATGATATTGGAGACCGATGACCTCAAAGCTTTGTTTGAGGCTTTCGGCTCTCACGTCCTCAACCCTCTTAGGGTCCAATCGGAGCTATCCGAGTCATTCTAAGAATGAGGATCTCCCTAGCCTTCTCTTCTCAATCAAGTCATGCACGGATCGCACAACAAGCTTTAAGCTTCTCTTATTCCAGATGATGCCGTCGTTTGACTAAACGGCCCCGTGGCCTTTGCTGAAACCAGACGGATTTTCGGTTTCTGACTGGAACCGCTCCCTTCATCATGTCTCGGCGCCAAAATGAACCCGGCCATTGGGGCTGCCCTAAGCGTTTGAGACAGGACTCTTAATCTCAGGAATACTGTCCTGTGAAGATTTATGTGATACCGTTGCAATCATTGGCCTCATGATGAGACGCTCCTACAATCCTGAGGCTTGTTTTCAGGCCAATGACGAGTTCAGAACGGAAGATCAAAGGTCTCTGGTGAGCACACTGCATCCGTTATATAAACCGTCCGAGAAGTCAGTGAAGATTTGACTTGACCTTCTTGTTCAGTATTCCACAAGACCGTTCCTTCAGACCTCTCTAGTATCAGAGAATGTCGACAAACTAGCTCACTGTCAAATCAAGCTTTTACAGAACACTCATTCCTTTTGGCTTATTGCCTTCAATCATTTAGCTTATTAAATTCGTTCCTTCAATACTATCATGGTTGGTCACACCACGTTGAAGCATGTGCTTTGCTGCATTTATCCCAAGCAAAGGCTGATTGTCCGCAGATGATGCTTCTCAAGTCACTCTCCTTTGCCCTCGCTGGGCTGTCAGCATTGGCAACTGCCATTCCAATGCCAAAGAGCCTTTCAGGAGATGTTTCTGTTGAGGCCAATGCAACCGACCGACTTGTTTTCTGTCATTTTATGGCAAGTCAATAATATCTCTTGGTTGAGTACGGAGCAAGTGACTGACATTTGTGTTCATTCTAGATTGGCATCACTAGCAACCGTCAGAGCGCTGCGGATTATGATGACGACATGCAACGTGCGAAAGCATTGGGAATAGATGCATTCGCTTTGAACATAGGCATGGATCCGTACACTGATACCCAGCTCAATTTTGCCTACGAATCTGCCGCAAGAAACGACATGAAAGTCTTCATCTCATTTGATTTTAATTGGTACAGTACTGGACAAGCCACTGCCGTGGGACAGAAGATCAGACAATATGCTAGTCTGCCGGCACAGCTCAAGGTAGATGGCAAGGTCTTTGCGTCCTCATTTGCCGGCGACGGCCTTGACATCGCTGCCATGAACTCTGCCGCTGGCACCGCAGTGTTCTTCGCGCCGAATTTTCATCCAGGAGTTGGAGACTTTAATGCTATCCAAGGTGCACTCAATTGGATGGCTTGGCCTAACAATGACAACAACAAAGCGCCGACCCCAGGTCATAATGTGAGCGTTGCAGAAGGCGACAATAAATACATCGAGGCCCTAAATGGAAAGCCGTATATTGCACGTGAGTCTTTGAAGTTTTCAGTCTTTGACTTCGGCTCACACAAGAACAGCTGTCTCTGGTTGGTTCTCAACCCATTTCGGCGGCGAGGTTCCCTATAGCAAGAATTGGGTCTTTCCCTCAGATCTTCTCTGGTATGACAGGTGGCAAGAGATCCTGAGTCTCGGGCCTCGGTTTGTGGAGATTGTCACCTGGAATGACTACGGAGAGTCACACTACATTGGACCATTGTCCTCGCCTCATACAGATGACGGAGCCTCCAAATGGGTAATGGATATGTAGGTGATTGCAACATTTGTCGCCAAGTATAGCGCTGACAGCTTCTTCAAGGCCGCACAATGGATGGCTGGAAATGTCAAAGCCTTTCATTGCCGCTTACAAGGCCGGCGAAAAGTCCGCCAACAAATACATCACCGAAGACAAGTTGATCTACTGGTACAGACCGACTCCTAAAGACGTCAATTGCGACTCAACCGACACTACCATGCAGGGAAACCCGAACAATTCAAGTGGAAACTTCTTCCGCGGACGACCAAACGGGTATGAGACGATGACCGATGATGTGTTTGTTGTCTCATTGCTCAAGTCACCCGCTACTGTTCAGGTCACTTCAGGAAGCGCCAGCAAGACATTCCAAGCACAGGCCGGGGCCAGCGCCTTTGCAGCACCCATGGGGATCGGCAAACAGAAGTTTTCGCTCCTGCGCAATGGGCAAACCGTCATGTCCGACACGAGTCTGAAAGACATTGTCAACAGCTGCATCTGCGGCATCTACAACTTTAACGCCTATGTAGGCACCGTGCCGCCGGAGAAGACCATTGACAAACTCCAACCAGCGGGACTGTCAATGCTGTATCAGGGACTGACAGTACCATGTCCAACTAACACTCTAGGACTTACTAGCCCTAGTGCCACCCCTCAGTAGGCATGCAATTCTCAGAATGCATACTTTCGTTCTTTTGTGCCAGACAAGTCGTCGGGTCACTCGTTACAAGGGAGGGTAGGGCTCACTCGCTTTTTTTGTTGACTTTGCTGGCCGAATGCTTGCATCAAGTGTCGCTCGTTTGCATGAACTAGGGATTTGTCGGGAGGAAATTGTCATTCGCTTACGATGCAACTCATGACCATGATACCACGAACAGTTATTGCTTGAAATCCAATGCTGGCATTACGAAGAAGGATCTGTTCCCTTGTCTTTCTCGGAATATCTCTGTAGTCGTTGTAGTAGTCGGATAATGTCAGCAACTAAGACTCATGGATTTTATTCTGACACAGCCAAAACTACATTGAATTGTTGTTTTCTGCTTTCAGGTGATGCGGATGAATTGTGTGGGCCTTATAAGATATGGATTGTAGACATACGCGACCCTCAAGTTTTCAGCACTATGAAGATGCAATCAGAGTGTCAAGTGTTGGATTATATTCCGACACGGCTGAACTTATATTGAACTGTTGTTTACTATCTCATTGTGATATTATCGAGTCGGAAATCATCGGGATGTTGCTGCTGACTCCGAGAGCCACCGATTTAAGTACATCTACTCTGTAGATTGACTCTGGTCACTCTTATCAGTGGATCATACCTAAGCGTTATCTCCCCTTCCTTTATTTAGATCCAATGCCCCCTTTTGTTCATCCTATACTTCTTCACCGACACTTCTTCATCTATTCTCAAACTTCACTTCCTCTACTTACACTATGAACATTTCAGTTTTCCATCCGGATAACATTGATTCGACCGCTGCTCCTGACGCGCTTACTATCGGCTTCCCCTCCCCGCCAGCCACATACAACCCGACGTTCGGATATCGCGTGATTCATTCCTCCTTTCATCCATAACATCTCCTGCGCTGGCTACTCGCGTCTGAAAGGTTTACAGCAAAGCCGAATTGCTCAAATTATACCTGCTATCATTATTCTATATTGATTCCATGGAGCCCATCATGGTCTGTTAAGATGTTGTGCGGAGTTGAGCTGAGCTAGATTGGCGGTGACGAGAGCGTTGGACATTTTAACTTTGAAGAGGTATATATTGGTACTTCAAGTGTCGACACAATTCATGGCGAGGATCAAGCAGGGGGTCTTCTCCTGGGAGGATGTGCTGGCCCAGCGGTATCAGAGTAAGTCGAGCATTTGTTACCTTGTTTATTGTCGCGAAGCAAAGGTCGATGCTACAATTGCATGTATGCCTTGTAGCCTGGATCCCATGGTTGCAAATTCCTCATACGGAATGTACCTCAAAATGCAAAGCAATATCATGCAGTGCATGACTGACTGAGTTGCTCCAGGCAACAAGCCAGCCGCCCTACCCAGATCGAGAAGGCACAGTGCCCTCTCCGGACGAAACCAGTCCCAGAAGCGGTCCGACACACGGCTGGAATTCACATTCCAGACCGACTGCTCGCTACTGATGAAACTCGCGCCTGAGTTGCGCCTCCTGATCTGGGAGATGGTCTTGGGTGGGATGCGTATACATATCATCCAGCGGCCGAACCGCCGGATGGGCCACATCGTATGTTCTCTTGCTGAGACCTGCGATATCTGCCGCGGCAATGTGCCGCAGCTGGCCAAAGACGGAGCGGCCAGGCCAAAGACTCAACTGCTGTCTCTCGCGTTGACTTGCAAGCTGATGTAAGTGGCCTCTTTCCTGGCAAGATGACAGAGCCATTCCCTTTCTCTTTGCCCCATTCATCTGATTCGAAACCTCAGCTACTGCGAATCCATCCACCTGTTGTACACGCTCAACATCTTCGAGTTCAGCAATACCTGGTCCCTCACATATCTCCGTCCAACCATCCCCGCCGACTTCTGGGACGGGATTCGTGAAGTCGAACTCCGCTGGGCGTTCCCAGGCCACTGGCTCCCCAGTAAAGACCCAGTCAAGACGGTCTATTTCTCCGCCGGACGCCAGCAGTGGGTCGAGACCTGTCGCGTGCTGACGCGGATGAAAGGCCTGCAATCGTTCACGCTGCAGCTGATGGGGAACTGGTTTTGCGAACCGGTGGAGAAGATCCCCATGTTTCTGGAGCCGCTGAGGGAGTTGAACCTGAAGAACCGGTGGAAACTGCACTTACCCCGGCAGCCGTACTATGTCAAGGAGATCCGGAATATTGACGGTGATCTGCACCAGAGGGGCATTGACTGTTCTGTTCGAGCTGTGTGATGGACTTGGCAGTTACTGATCTGTATTGACCGGTCGGCTATGTTCAAGGTAGGGTTTAATCTTAAATACGGAGTATTTCAGTAAAACATGTATTTTGACATTGTCTGGAAGAGCCCTGCTCCGAGAACATACGGCCACTGCTATCTCCCCGATTCCATCGTATACAACATCCTCCTATCAACCCTCACCGTGAGCAGAGGCATATCTACATAATACTGTAGCCGAACACAGTATTTAACACGTCATCATATCCCTTTTCCCACACTCCTCTTCCCCATACTCTCCGACCTTAGTCCTACTCCTACCAACCCCAACCAAATCAAGCTAGCCGCCTCTCGGTCCTCGGATCCGACACACCGCCGACCTTACCTTAGTCACCTTAACACCTCCCTACCCTAACGAAGCTAAAACAACCAAGCCCACCACTCACAAAATCTCAAAGCACAATACTACTCACCTGACCTCAAAAGCCAAAACACCCCAAAGCGGTTAACCACCCGCAGATCACCCCCTTCTCGCTTACAGAAAGTATATTTATAGATAGATGCCGGAAGGATCTTTGGCTGGACCCTCCGGGGCTGGGCCGAGCCCCCCCCCCCCCAATCGCGGGGAGGGGGCCATTGGACCAGTGGCCGGCCCCAGTGCAGACTGCAAATCGTAATTAAACTGGCATGGGTCAGTCAGGGTCTTCGCCGCTAACTGCTCAGGAACTTGGGAACTAGATGCTTTGATTGCCTGAATTCGTCGCATGTCTCAGACTTGGAGGGTTTCGTTGCGACTTCAAGCCTGATCGAGGCCTGATCTGTGCATGTCGGCTTGGATTCTTCCTTCAAAAAATGCTCGTCCGACCTCTATACGAAGATCTACCCTGTACAAGTCAATTAGGAACAGTATGAGGATATCAATTGGCTGAATTCTCCAAGTATTGATTTTTCCCCTGAATCTCTTGTTGATGTAACATAGAAGAGTTGAGTTGACATTATATGGGACGCAGAAATTTGAGATCGCCAGGAGTCAGATCAATTTCAGAAAAGGTAAACGCTTCATCTATAGATGGCTTGCTCATTTTCGAGCATGGTCACCAAATGCAAAGCATATCTCCAGAGTGGTGGTGTCGCTTCCGTGTCTCATGGCATTGACTGCAATTGCAATCCTTGCGTACACGCTGACCACAAACATGATGGGAGAGTCAAAAAGAAAATCAAGAGTCAAAGAGGGATGAAAAAAAGAAAGAATGTGAAAGAATTATAGTAGAAAATTAAATGTATAATCATGCCAATCTCGCAAACACATGCGAGAGCCAAGTTCAAAAGTATGCTGATCATGAAGAGTGCTAATTACCAAACACCTCAATCATATCCAAAAAGAAAGTGTTGCAGAGTAGAATAGTAGATATAAGAAATAGCAGTTTTCTGGACGGAAAGAGTGTCATAGTAGAGCTTTGCAGGAGATAGGAAAGGAGAGAAGAGTCCTTGACTTGGTGTGATACACCATTGAGAACTGGCATTGACTGCCAGGAAAGCAGCGCCAAAGGTCATGTGATGATGGAATGTTCATTCACACATTGGTTTGCAGGAGTTGAATTGAAGTGCCGAACGTGTTCGCGCTATATCGAAGATTCCTGGATGATGGAAAAAGGTAAAAGGATGGGGGCGTATCGACAAGTATCGAGACTTAGGACTCATAGTAGACAACAGCGTTCTGCCATAGATGGCGGATACACTTTTGATGAGCGGCCTGACCCTCCTTCCTACTCATGGGAAATCCCTACAGTAGGCGGTGAAGCTCATGCGCATCGCGTGTACCTCGATCGCTATTCATCTAAACAGTTCAGTTAAGACGAAGCGTCGCATTGTCGCGGGAGACACGGAATGAACTTTGAACTTAGGTCAACATGGCGTCAGACGAGCACCAGCTGGGGTGTCCCTGAAGACGGCCGTAACCGCAAGAGGTGAGATGGATGTGTATAGACGACTAGTGCTTGATGTTACCGGCCGTCCTGGGATCGATCCGGGCCAGACTGGCCGGGACCCATCTGTCGAGCAGCAACCCAGTCTACCGGAGCGTCCTGCATTGAAGCAGGTGTCTTCTGCTCGTCAGGTCGACCACTGGTCTGTTGCCGAGGGAGAAGGTTGTTGATCTCTGCGGCCAGTGCGGAAGCCATGTAGGCACGGAGTTCCTTTTCTTCGCGCTCGTCCTCTTTCATGAGCCGTCTTTGATCTGGTTTTGACATACTCTCCCGTCGCTTTTTCCGGATCTCGTGAATGACCCATAGTAGGACGTCCTCTGGCACACGATTTCGCGGAGCGCCATGCTTGACCGGGCTTCGTACATATCGTCTCGTAACATCTGTCGCACCGTCAATGGAGAAGGCAATGCAGTAGGATATCTTTCGACCCCAGCCTGAGAAATATGGTCAGTCAGCATTCTACAATAGTCTGTAGCTTGACGTGGAAGATTTCCCCACCTTCAGTGTAAAGGCGTGGCTGATCCCAAGCCTCTTCGCACGCATCTACGTGCACCCAACGCCTTTGATGCTCCGAGTAGACCTCGGTCCAGACGTAATCCTCCGAATTCCATACCCATCGTACCCGACCACCCAGTGCTCTGCAGAACATACTGAAACAGTTGGCCCATTCACCCACACGCCCCCTTCTGCTCTGTAACAATTGCCAGACATCAGAATATCGCGGAAATCGCTCATATGCGCCACACGTCGATTCCGAGCAACGATATAGTTCGACCCGCGTTGCACCACGCGC